AATGGTCAAATGACGTCCTCAACCTTCCTCACCTTCACTTGGACAGAAAAACTTGATGTCAGACCAACGTTTGCGTTCGACAACACTTCTAAAGCGACATCTCATTGATAATATGGTTATTTGCGCTGCTGACGGTATATAGGCTTGCATGAGTAGATCTGTCCAAACTGCCGTTTTGATATTCGAAAATTACAATTTTCAAAATTCATGAAGAAAAGTCATTATAACTTAATTACACGAACCGTCAGTACATGAAATGAGCTTTACAGTGATAAGAAATACTAAAGCATTCAGAGATCTTGTTCTTAAATCACAAACAGGAAAAATAGAATTGCAAGCCCACAATATCATCCAAGTAATTCAACAAACTGCCGTCAGCGATTTCGCGTTGATATTGCAACACCTAAGATCGAAATCCCAGAAGACAGAAGAGGAGGGAGGGAACGGAGGGACTGTCGCCGAGTGGCTAGTATGCCGGGAGCGGCCCGACACGGGATTGATCTCAGGGCCCCCAACTTTCGCCGACAATCAACAACAAACTCCCCACGGAACGCTTTAGTCTGTTTAGGATTTGAGATTTTGAGGAAAGATGCCCGATCAATTTTCGACATTCATAAAGGGCATAAAATTCTTGAGCAAGTCAGGAGAGGAATCGAATGCCAGAAGTACTGTGACCCGCACCGTGAAAAAACTCCGATAGGGATCAAATTGAATGATAAGTGATAAAGCAATAGAACTGCATAACTTCTACATTCGGTTCAAGACATGGAAAAGCATTATAAAAACCATAAAGCTCGTGTTTGACAATACTCAAACAGGTCAGCAGGTTTGAAGTTCGCTGGGAAGTTAAAATAAGAAAAATATAGGTGTTCAGAACCAATTACAGAATCTAAATAAAGTCACCTGTACACAATGACGAGATGCAATAACGCAGTCATAATCGCGAAGTTCGATCTTCCTTGAAGGGTTTGTTGACCACATTCTGAAGAAAAGCGCTAATAGAACTATGTACTAGATTGTTGAATCAAAAACGAGTAAGGGGAGAAGAGATTTCTGAACGGCCTTTAATCAAATATCTTATAAAGGTAAAAATAGTAGGGGTACTGACCTATATGCAAAACATCCGACTTAGGCAGGATTTGAACTCGCGTTTCGTCCTTACCGAGGCTCGTGCGACCACTACACCACTGAGGCTACCGCTCTGCTACCACTCTTCAATAAAAAGTGCGTTGCTGTCAGCGACCAATCTTCAAGAAGCTTACTACTTTTTAGCAGTTTTGGTAGGCCTGAAGAAAGAGTAATAGCAGGGCGGTGACGACAGTGGCGTCGTGGGGTGGCACACGCCCCTGATAAGTGGACACGGGTTGAACAAACGTTTGATATCAAATGTTTTGCATACAACTCAATACTCTCAAGTGTATATTTTCAGTATCATACCACCGCCTAGAAGGCAGTAAAAATGAAGTAATCTCTAGATCATAACACTGGGCAGTTCTGTAAGTTTTGTTACTAGAGAAATGAACATAAATTTATTAACCAAAGTGATTTAAATTCAATGGTTTTGCTATCATTCAAATGTTCATTTTCTCCCAAAAATTTTGGTATAACAACTTGCCCCTGCTTGATTGAAGATCGAGCAGTCGTGAGAACAAATTTGCTTGCTACTTGTACACGGATGGCGCATAGGGGAAAATGCTATTGTGGCGACGCGCAAGGCTAGTGGAGCTTCCTATGGGCGGCCCCAGAGCCACGAATCCTCCACAACTCTCTCCAGCTTTGAACTCTGCGAAGCACTTTCTAGCCTTTCTTTCTGCAACCGTATTATCGCACTGAGCTCCAGTAATCTTGCGCGCCGTTCACTGTCATTAGCCCCTAAGTGCCATTTGTGCACATGGAGAAAGCAATTTTGTCCCCACAACAGTGTCACCTTATAATAAATTTAGGCACGTTATATACCAAAATGTTCACAAAAAAGGTGCAGATGAACGGTATTGAAGTCATGCGAGCATAATTATAGTGAATCTGATGTTTATCAGATTGACTGTCTTTGAAACGTCGCAAAAAAAAATAATTCCAAAAAAGAATGCTTTAAGCTTAAACGAGGTCGGTACGCCAGGGTCATACACCGGTGTTTCAGCCTCCTCGTCAGTGACCCCCGCCCCACATTAAGCCCTGCACTGTAGCAAGGAGGGAGGCGTATGTGGTGATGGCACAGTGTACAATGACACTGGTCCATCACCACTTCTCGTCGATGGGCGAGGGTCACTGACGAGGAGGCCGAAACCTCCGAAACACCGGTGTATGACCCTGGCGTACCAACCTCGTTTAGGCTCAAAGCATTCTTTTTTGAAATCTGGTATTCATTTCTGTAATGCCAAAACTTACGTAACGACTTATATGATGCATAGAAATAGATATAAAACTAAGACGTCAACAAAAATGATACCGTGTATTTTCTTAACCATCTCCCCAATGGAGCTCCTGTTAGTCTTCAACTTCCACTTTCGGCTGGATTGCAGTATCAGAATTCTGCTAAAAACAAAGCAAACGAGAAAACTACAATTTTTGGAGAACAACTGATGAACAACTCACTGAATTCTGACTCTCATCAGAATCTTCGCGTTTCGGAACTGATGCAGAGTGCTTTTGAGCGCCTCACATCGTACCGGCTCTGAGAGACTGGGACCTTTGCATTTCGTTAAGATACGAAGATTTTCCGGAAATTCGGTTCAACTCGGAAATGAGATCGCCAGGAGGTCGGGCCTTCAAAACTAAGGTCCCATCAGGGAGCATTTTAGCTCGACGTAACTGGCCATATTCATCTCTGATCAACACGTTCTTCCGTTGAGGACGATCAGTGGATGTAACACGGGACTCTAATGTTCCTTGAAACAATTCTCGGAGTATGAGCAGCAAGTCCTAGCACATCTTCCCTTCTCCTCTTCGTTCTCGGTTGTGCTTCTGGATCAGAATTTCGCTAGAAATGAAACGAAAGTGGACATGAGAAATAAAGGTTCTTCCATGCTATTCGGCGACAAATGAAGAAAAGACCCCTTTCGCTGGACAGGAATTCTTTATTACAGTGTTAGTGCACATCGGATAGCTTAAATCTCTAGCCACTACGCTACGCGCCCCCTTTTCAAAAAGACCCTTTTCTAACGCTGTAGCATTCAAAATAAAACTAGGTTTTACACAGGCGGCGCGTTTTTACTATACTTCGCTCAAGGCACGAAAAGCAAATGAACATGTGGAGAAAATATTGTAGTATGAGATTCATACGTTTCATCTGGAGTTTCCTCCAAAGCGGAGTAAAATTCTACATTCTATAACAAAAATTGCACCCCACATGTGTAACACGAAAAGGAGATCGATCGATCCATCGTTGCATGGAATCCATTGCAAGCCCCCCCCTCGCCCTGCACGCTTACACACTGGCCAACAAACGGCGCCACGCACGTGAATCTATCTCTTTTCTCCTACTACACTGTAGTGACACGGTATTTCTAGAAAATAAGCAAAGCACTGCAATCAGCAAAACCTATGCTTTCGAATGGTTACCTGTAAGCTGAAGAAAGATCTCTGTTCTGCAAGATTTATGCGTGTGTGAAGCACAAATGTTTTTCTTCTATTATGACCTTATAAAGAGATTTTTTTGAGAGAGAGTTACGTAGCGCAGTGGCTAGAGATTTAAGCTTTGAACGATTAGTAACACTCTTAGGATAAATTCTCGTCCAGTCGTTTTTTGAATTCGTGTTAGATAACATTCAAGAGCTAATATAAACTATGGTGTAACCAAATTGCCACAATATTTTCAATGGGCTCATCGAGTGGAATTACATCTCGATTCGTTGGCGGATTCATTACTGACCAAGATCTGTGACGTTCCTAATCAAATAAGAAATTTCTAATAAAACGTACCTTATTCGATCTCTTATTAGCCATATGGTGTCTCGCTATCTGCAGTCGATCCCGCGTTGACTAATGCTCCAAAGTGCAGAATCAGCCAGTTGATGACACAACGAAAAGGATCTACTAATTTTTTTAGTATGCTTGAGAATCCTGAAATAAAACAACAGGACATCCATTTCAATCTCAGTGAAAAGAAAATCAAGGAGGTCGAGGTCAATGATATTTACTGTGGGCGAACATTTTGGTCTACATCTTGCCTGTACTTACTTTAAGATGGACCTCGCTACAAATTCCATAAATATTCCCAAGAGAATTGAGTGGTGAGCAAAAACACGGCCTCAGGCGGGAATCGAACCCACGTTTTATCCTATCCGGGGATGCGTGCTCTACCACTACACCACTGAGGCACATTTGCCCGACCACTCATTCGTCAACATCTCAATGTTAGCTGTCAGCCACCAACCTTTGACAGGTTTGGTCGGGTATGCGATTCCGCTTTATAAACCCAGTTGAGCTGACAGCTATTCTAATTACTAATACTCGAAATTCATAGTATTTTCAATGCATTTCGCACTGTCGGGCAAATGTTCCTTGGTGGTGCAGTGGTAGAGCGCGCGTTCCCGGATAGGATGAAACGTGGGTTCGATTCCTGCCTGAGGTAGTGTTTTTTTGATCACCACTCAATTCTCTCAGGAATATAGAAAACATCATTACAGTGCGAAATGCATTAAAATTACTATCAAGCCTCCCCACTAGCATCGTTCTCCTACGCGACATTCGTGCATGAGTAGCAAGCGAATTTGTTCTCACTACAGCTCCATGTCAAAGCAGTATAGGCAAGTTGTGGTACCAAGATGTTGGCATGAAATTGCCCAATTCAAGAATACCAAAAATCATCAACTTCAATTACTTTTGATTAATAAATGTGCAAAGTATGTTCACTCAAATGGCGTTTTTTTGGTACTAAAGTCGTCATCCTCAAAGTTTTGTGAAAACTATTATATAAAACGCAATCAATTTACTTGACCGCCTATTGCGGTGTTATGATGTTTCAATAAACTCAATGATGTAGAGTGGTGTGCAGAAACGTTTGCGTCAGCCGGGATTCGAACCCAGATCTTGCTCTGAGCAAGTGCTTAACCGTTGCACCACCGACGCATGTTTGCACTCCACTCTTTCGGGTGTGTAACGGTTAAGCACATGCTTCCGGAGAGAGTAAGATGCGGGTTTATTTTTCGTACCTTTATTTCTACTATCACTACAGCAAAAAGAAGATTAAAAAACGGTGGTGTCATATTTGTACACAAAATGTTATTAGAATCCTGTTGAGGAAGATCTTTGCAAGAAGACTTGCATCACCACAGGGAGATGAGACTGCTAAAAGCAGCACAAAACCAGTCTGAAAAAATGCGGTCGAAGTCCGTGGCGAAATAATATCCACTTCCAATTCAGATGAACGGAGACAGCATCACTAAAACTTCCGCCATTTGGTGGCATGATAACGAAGAAGCTCTACGCTAACCCTTCGCACCACAAATTCCATCTCAAGTATTGAGATCCTTGATAGAGAATAAAAAAGGATGAAGGATAAAGCTCTCGGCGTTGATCAATCCCTGAGGGATGTGCCATACATTCGCGTTCAATTCCTAACTTCGTTTGAGGTGCTTGAATGCATATCTGCCCATTACAGTGACTCGCAATGGCCTCCCGCTGAACCGAGTCGCTGCTGCTTATCCTCCCAGACGAGTCTGAGACCAGTCTGGTATCAATTTACCTAGCCCGGAGGGATGGATGGCTTGGTGAGCCATGAGTGCGAGATCGAACCATTGACCTCGTGTGCGACGCAGAGCACCTCTAATCATGCGTCACATGCGCTTCCAAAGTATAAGAGTACCGTCGACATTCTTAGGGCTACAGATCATCATCTTCTTATACTTCTCGCAGTCGACGTCCTACGTTCTAGAAGAAAAGACTGGAGGACCTCGCACACGGTCTCCCTGTCCAAGCTGTGTGACCGAAGGAGTACTCATAGTTATCATAGGAGATGCTTACTCAGTATACTTTACAAGCCCTCACGAAGATTACTGTGTCACGTAAGTGATTACCTCACATGATGCGCGGCCAACTGAGCAAGATTTCGCCAGGGATTTTGCTAGATATACCACATTCGATCAGCATTCAGTGTCACTGAGAGCTGCCGAGAACACCGATTTCCCGTAGCCAAGACTTTTGTCGGCTATAGAAAAACGTTTGAAAGTGTCGAAAGAAAATGCAGTTCTATCACCGCTTGTCGACCAAAAACTAGACCAATCGGAACAGCACCGCAAAAAGCGCAGCTATTTTATCTACCCCTTATTACTCCTATGAGAAAAGTTGCTTGACAAGGCGACACTATATCGTCAAAGTCACTGATTGCAGCACCGCATTTGATAATGTCACATGATTGGGACGAGAAGGGCATGATGTATTGATGGAAAAATTCGTTTAGAACTTTCGTTTTCGAATCTTCTCGATAAGCACCACTACGGCAAAAAACGCCACTGAGTAACTTAACGAAGCAGGAAAGAAGACACTGCGCATAAATCGAAAAATGACAAACTTTACGGAGAAATCATGGGTGAGCAAGTCGGAATAGATAATTCTCCGATCACAGAAACTATTTCCCATGTGAAACTTAAGAGTTTACTAACCTGACAACAACAAAAAGGTGGATTTAGATGATAGAAGGAAAGTAGTAAGCACTGCATTGAAACCTCTTCAAAGAAAAGTCGTCAACCACCATTTCCTCAAAAATTCTTTATCAGTAGGCATTTACAAACATCACCATTATCTCATATACTCAGATCATATCTAAAACATATGAGTAAGACAATATCGACCATCAGCAGGCAAAATGCAGATGTGTTGAAGAAACATAAATACAAGAAAAATATAACAAACAAAGAATAAATTATGCACTTTTCTGCCACGGCCAAAAAGTATTTGTAAAATGCAATAGTCCGCTATGGGTTAAAATGGAAAGACTATTATTTAAGAAAATAACATAAACCCTTGCTGCACAGATTAAAAACTTTGCATGCATAATCATTTTTAGATATTCATATACATATGTATTATACATTTGCATATATGTATATATTACACATATAAATATGCATATACATAGGTGTATATACATATATGTGTATGTATACAGGTGTATATGTGCATGTATGTGCATATACGTATATATACATATATATATGTGTATATAAATGTATACATATATGCATAAATGTATATATACACATATGTAGGTACATTCATATGTATATGTATTCAATTGTATATATATACTCAACAAGTATAATTGAAAGACTGTCGACAAGCTGACTTTCGTCAACTTTAAATAGAAATCCTTCAGTGTTTCAGGATACGCTCTATGTCTGATCCTATCCCATAACATTGAATGTTAAATCTTATTCATAGCCTGATCAGCCCAATCATGCAGTGAGTCGCAGAAGCCGTTAGTGGCTTCAGCTGGAGAATGGCTGAATTTTCGACTTGTAGCTGGTCGCCAAACTGTGCTTGTCAGTCAGTTACAGGCGAACACCTGCAGATGACTGGTAGATAGTCACGCCCATCTCAGTGGTCGATTCGTTACAGATCTCCCGTCTGCAAAATTCTAACGAACTATGCTTTTCTTTGAGCAAAAATCGCACGGGGATGGTACTCATAGTTAAGAAATTTGATGGCTAACATTTCGGTGACCTCGCCTTCGTCTGGTCTCTCTGGGCCCTTATATGGAAGAGATCACCGGCTTCATGTGACATAGTGAGAGGAAAAAGTTCCAGTGTTTCTCTCAGTGTGTCATATGAAACCGACGACCTCTCCCATTCAAGAACTGAGAAGGTTCTGACGAAGTCGAGGTTGCCGAAACATTAGCTATCAAAATTTCAAGAAATGGCTACCTACCTCGTGGAAGTTTAAATCAGAGAAATGGACAGTTTGTAAGAACTTTTGCATCTCCGTTACTCATACCGAGGTTTAAAGAGAGTCGGACTTTTGCATTATATTGAGGTAAGTGGAGAACTTCGCTCATAAATAGAAGACGGACCCACCTGGAAACAAACATCTTCATAATACTACATAATGGTCGAGACAGTAGCATACGACTGATTACTTTGTATTTTATGACTTTCACCTCCACTATTCTTAGTTGACGCCACGCCCTCCTGGGCTTGCATTCAAGAATTAGGACTCCTGTAATAAAGAACATTTAGTAAACTAAAAAACATTATCAGAAGTTAATAGATGCAAATGCTTTGACAACTTCAGGACAAACCAATGATGGCGAAGGCCCCACATTGGGATTATCCGAAGTACTTCGCTCCTCACTCTGCTGATTGGCTTGTTCAAGAACGGTTCGTCGATATTTCTGAACAGTAAACTCAGTATTATTGCCCTAAGTAAGAGTACAGTGATAAAGAAGGAAAGAACTTAATAACCTCAGACTGCCGACCTCTTGGCTTGTTCTTCAGCGTTGGAGGTGTTGGACTCTAGACTGGCATGATTATATCGGTTTTGATCCATAAGACCGACTATTTTTAAAACCTCGCCATAAACATTCAAAATGATTTAAAAGAAAAAGAATGTCTAAAGCCTAAACGAGGTTGGTACGCCAGGGCCATACACCGGTGTTTCGGAGGTTTCGGTCTCCTCGTCAGTGACACCGCCTCATATTATGCCCTGCATTGTAGCAAGGAGGGAGGCGTATGTGGTGATGGCATAGTGTACAATGACACTGGTCCATCACCACTTTCCAGTCGATGAATTTTGGCTGTTAGATCAAGATTGATCCACAAGATCGACTGTTTTTAAAACCTCGCAATAAACGTTCAAAATAATTCCCAAAAAAAGAAAAAATTGCTACAATGCAGGGCTTAATGCGGGGCGAGGGTCACTTACAAGGAGGCCGAAACCTCCGAAACACCGGTGTCTGGCCCTGGCGTACCAACCTCGTTTGGGCTTTAGACATTCTTTTTTTTTTGGATTTATATCAGTTCTTTCGATTATCCGACAGGAAATGCAGAAACGATGCCTTTTGCTGTAGCCGAATAATTTTCATAAGAGTATTAGTAATCAATGAGAAGCTTAAATACTGGGGCACTCTTGTATAAGCTCGTTTATTGAAAGTATCTCTCTACAGTGCTGCAGCATTTAAAATAGAAATATGTTTCACACCCGTCGCGTCCTTTTATTTTTATCACGCTCATAATTCGCTGCAAGCAATGATAGGCTTGCGTAGGTGTAGCGGAAACCTCACAGTAACATAGGGGTACGTGATTAATTCTAAATTCAATAACAAAAATTCAGTGCACACGTGAGCCGAGCCAGCACATTTGATTGGTCGTGTATCGGTCCACAAGCACGCAAACACACTCAACCACAACAAATGCGTGAATTAAGTGAAAGCCAATCTTATTTTCACTGCCACACTGTAATGGAAACCTTCCCGGAAAATAAGTAGAACGTTGGAATTGTTGTTATTATGAATGCTATAGCGCGTAAGAAGACCTTTTCAAAAACAGATAAGTACATCAGCCGGCCGAGATTCAATCTATCAAATGGTTCCTAAGAATCTTATGAGAAACCTTGTTCAGCAAAGGGATCGTTTCCTCATTTCCTACCGGATAACAGAAAAGAACCATTAGATCCCTTAAAGAAGATAAAAACGCACTATCGTCAACTAATGGATCAGATATTTGATTGAGCACGAATATAACTAGAAAAACGCACATGGTCTTATGACTGAAAGAGTTAGTGACATGTTTTGATAGGCTTCAAACATAATAAATCTGACGCAACCAACTAACACGCCGGGCGACGGGAACGTTTCGGTTCCGATGATCATGCCTTTTCCAGCGCACGCGTTTGGGTAACTCCTGTTCCCAACACCGTCGTGAACGAGATTTCTTCTAAATGGAACGGAAGCTACTGGAATAAGATTTTTTCTTACTGAAATATGTGCAGTGTGGAAAAAGATGGCTAACAACTCTTTTTGGGTGTAGTTCTTCCAAACAGACTTGCGCCACCAGCTCTCTCAACACTTCACTGACTTCTTTGAGTAGTGTCGTATCATAGATAACCGATAAGTCAACCACCTACAAATTAAGAGG